AGGGAAAAGGAACTATGTGAGCGGAGTAAGTGACCCTTTCAAGAAAGTTGCCACAGTTTATCTGCAGAGGTCAACCACATACCTAGTTACCAGCAAAAGACAACGAAACGTGCTCTTTGGATTCGATAGTCTGGACATTCTCTCCTCCAAGCTCGAGGTGGAGCTGTAATTATTCCTTCATCGACAGCGCTCCCTTCTTCCACTTTTCCCTCCTATGGTTTTCTCATACAAACCATCCATTCTTTCCACGTCTCACTTTCTTTACATTTCATAAACATACGGATCGATCATGGCAACAAAAGATAAAATGTGGTTTGATGCACTGTTTGACACACTTGTACATGACACCATCTGCATGCAGACAGCCTGAGGAGGCAGGGCTCTCAGAGGGCTTTGTGGGTCAGACAAGATGGAGATGGGACTCTTCCTCAGTGACAAGTCCGAGTAGTTGGTTTGACCACAGTCATCTACGATAGACAACAATCACTATTTGAGTAAGGCCTAAAGAGGCTTGAGTCCTCCCGGCTGACCACACGCCTAAGTAGCTCCTGGGTGTTCGATTACACTGTAGATTACTCCTTAGATCTATGCAGGATTGTAAACTACCTCTCCTAGGGGTACTCGAAGCGGCACTTTCATTATGTCTTCATTAAATGTCTTCAGTGCCCCCATGGACAGGTCATGTGATTTCAGTAGCGGACCTGGCAGGAAATCTCGTTTGTTGCTGCCTCCGGCTTCAAAATTCTTTATCCTGACCATTCCTGGTCTCTCCAATCCCGTCTCTCAGATAATGGACTTGGACTATGAAGGCGAGTCTTTTGGAAATGAAATGGTTCCAATGTGATATATTCTTTCTTATTAAGAAACCAGAGCTGGGTGGTGGTGGTGCATGCCTTTAATCCAAGCACTCAGGAGGAAGAGCCAGGTGGATCTCTGTGAGTTCGAGGCCAGCCTGGGTTACAAAGTGAGTCCCAGGAAAGGTGCAAAGCTACACAGAGAAACCCTGTCTCAAAAAACCAAACAAAAAAAAAAAATTTGTTCTAAGGTCTTTGTTGTTGTTTTGTCTTATTGAGACAGGGTCTGACCTATATGGAGCCCTGGCTGTCTTAGAAATCACTACGTAGACCAGGCTGTCCTGGCCACAGAGATCTACCTGCCTCCTGGGTGATAGGAGTAAAGGTGTGCACCATCACACCAGGCAGTAATTATTTTTTAATTGAGCGCTTGTCTCTAAACTGTTACGTTTTCCACAGAACACAATACTGTTACAGACTTTCCACAGCAAACTATCTCTCACTGATTTACTGCATTTGATTTTAATTAAGAAACTGAGAAGCGATTTCTTCTTTTACTGATGTTAGTAAAACAATAACTGCTGCAGGCCGCAGGAATATATCATAAGAACTCAGCTGGTTATGGCAAAGTCACTACCTGGAGGGATCAGGGAATTTCTCCAGAGGAAGCCAAATCCCAAGGAGTTTTTGGTGTTACTTGGCTTGTTATAAATCAGCTATCTTCTGTTATGAAAATCATGTGTGCCTTCATAGTTTTCCCAATTGACTTTTCCCTAAGAAGAACTAACAGTGTGGACTGATCACTCTCTGGACATACACATTCCAGGTATTTGGAGAACAGCCTCAGGAAAGGCTTTCTCTGGAATCACATTGTCTCCCTTAGCCACTTTGAAGGACTACAGGAAACACCACCCAGGTGGGCGCCCAACTTCCGAGGACTAACAGTGAGAACAGCCCACATGCAAGTCTCCTGACTTACGGTAAATTCCACAAGGAGACACTGCCTAGGAGAAGTGGACGTTAAGTAATAGCTTTACACAATTTAGCTGGACCCTCCCTTTATATACCGGGACTTCCAGGGCACAGGGAGAGAAGAGAGAAGAGAATGGAAGAACTAGATGGGTAAGAACTTGAGAGGAACAAACTGAGATGGGGAAGAACTAGATTGAAGGACTAGAAGAGAGGACAAGAGGAACAAGATGGAAGATGAGGAAGAGCCAGATGAGGAAGAACAAGATGAGGAAGAGCCAGATGAGAGAGGAGATGGGAGAGGAGCTGATAGGGGAAAGAACTAGATAGATGAGAACCTAGAAAGGACAGAACTAGATGAAGGAATTAAGATAGAACCTAAAGGGGACAGTAGATAAATATAGAGAGAAATCAGGCAAGAAAGGAGCTAGACATGAGAGCAGAATAGAAGCTGTGTAGAGAGAGAACTATCACAGAATAAGTATGAACTAAGGAGTTTCATGTACATCGATTCATTTCTTTTCATCAAGGATTAATTATCAGCTGGTTGTAGATTCTTCCTGGACCCTGGGAGGGGACCAGACCCCCATAGTCCCCGGTAAATAACCCTATATTTTTCCAAAGGCAGCAAAGGTTTTCCCTGTAAGCAGTCTGTAATATTTCTACACATGGCTTTTCACCTTGTGCACATTTCTTAAACTCAAAAGGAAGATGGTAGCAAACTCTCCTGTCGACAAGGATTTCTATTTCATTTCCAATACCTGAGAACATAATTTAGAGAGCAGGTAGCCAGGCGGTGGTGGTGCACACCTTTAATCCCAGCACTCGGGAGGCAGAGGCAAGCGGATCTCTGTGAGTTCGAGGCCAGCCTGGTCTACAGGGTGAGTTCTAGGAAAGGCGCAAAGCTACACAGAGAAACCCTGTCTCGAAAAACCAAACAAGAAGAAGAAAAGAAAAGAGAGCAGGCAGAGATGCTCACACTGCTGAGTCAATGTCCACAAAGTCTGTCTCTGAAGACACTACTTGATTGTGCTCATTCCCAAATCCACTCAGGTCATGGTCCACAGAGGGCTCATTTAGGAGCAGCTTTAGCAGGCTTGCATAGGGAAACAACCTCCTGGGCTGATGCTGTAGGTTATTAAAGTCAGCACGCATCAGCTAAACACAGCACAACCCACCATCTAAGACCAGCTGTCGGCTCTACCAAACACCAACACAATCTAGAACGTGGGTGTCCATCTTCCAGACTCACTTAATCTCTACCGACAGGTACTGGTGGGGAATCCCAGTGATCAAAAATGTTAGGTTCAAATATGACTCCGACTCAAAGTCTGTCATTTGAGTCACTCCCAAGTTGTTAGGACCTGGGAATGTAGCTTAGTGGTGGAATGATTGCTAGCATGTGTCAGGCCGGGGTTCTATTCCCCAGCACCACACAATCAGTCAATCAATGAACACATGTGCACACACATACAGAAAGACATATTTTGGCTTTTAACTTCTTTGTGAAACAGAGCCGACCAGTCCTCCTATCACCACAGAGAAAGGCTGAGCAACAGGTCAGAATGGTCTCCAAGTGTTCCAGACGTCTCACAACTGCCTATTCTTCACACAGGAGGGACCCAGGAGCCGCCTTGGCAAGGGAAGCAAGCAGGAGCAGCCCTTCCCACAGTGGCGGCCACCATCAACACTATAAACACACCCCACAGGCTGAACTCCACGACAGGCACCGAAGCAGCGTTAAGACTGCAAGGATTTCTAACTGCAGACTCCCTCCATGTGCACCCTGAAGTTCCCCTATCAATCACAGGGAGGCAGCTCCCAGCCCTAAGTAAATGCATGTGTTCAGCTCTCTCTAGACAACACTCGGCACCCTCTTGCATGTGGGTCAGTCACTCATGGCAGCCCTGACCACCTCTGACGGGGCTGGCCTGGGTGGAGAGCTCCTGAGGAGCAGAGTTGGGGACTAGCTTCAGAATCCCATCTCGGCGCTCTGCTGCACAAGACCTAACGGACGGGCGGTCAAGTCCCAGAGCTTCAAACACAGAATGATTGACACCAGAGCACAGTTCCTACCCAGCCACAACCGTCAAGCCATCGTGTGGCTCACCAGTCACTAACTGAACACAGTTCCTTACAGTAGAGACTATCCACATCCCTGAGATACTAAGGTTCAAAGAACACTTACAAAATAAGAAAGAGAAAAACTCAGAGAAATTTCTAACATTGAAATGAAAGCTTTTCAGCTTCCTCTGTCTACAGGAAAACAAAGAATAAAACTGCATCCCTACCGGATGTCATGGCCATGCCTTTGATCCCAGCACAAGGCTGAAGCAGGCAAGCTCTCAGTTCAAGACCAGCCTGGCCAACACAGCAAACTCCAGGCCAACTGAAGCTACACAGTGAAACTGACTCCACGACAATCACACCCGCACTCCTAACCTATCTGGACTTCAGAACGCTGACACACATTTGGCACCATGTGTCAAAATTTGGAGAATCCCTTACAGGGTACTATTCAAAGTGCACACAGACATACGTACGTGCGTACACAAGGACGTGTCAAGAGTAAAGTGCAACACTTTGAATACCCTGAACACGCAGCACTGACTTCTGTGACCGACACTTGGTAGAACCGCATGATCAGGAAGAGTGAGGAGCTTAAGTCTCACAATGTGGACCTTGGATAAACCACTAATCCAGACAGCAACAGGACAGGAGTGGGCAGTATAATCCCTGCTTCATTCAAACTAGCTCGAAGTGAGGGGCAGGGAGGGAGGGAGGGAGGGAGGGAGGGAGGGAGGGAGGGGAGATAGATAGATGCTGGACACAGAAAAGGGCCAGACTTCCCCTGAGGGTGGAAAGAGGGAGACAGGGGTATCTCTCACATGGTCTACTTTGTAGACATTATATGTTTGGAGTCAGTAACTACTTAGAAACAAAAATACAAAATCCCAAGTAGCAAAGATCTCGAAGGCTAATCTTCTAAAAGGGATAGAACAGTGCAGACTAGTTCTCCCACTTACAAAGCTATGTGTCCAGTGAGTACGGGATCACCACAAAGTCCCCCTCTCAGAGTTCTTTCTAGATTTTAGCCAAGTCATTCATTTCAGCAATTTTAAAGGCCAGTAATGCCTATTTTCAGACAATGTAAGAATGACGAAATCAGAGTGAGGCCTTTATAATTATGGAAGTTAGGAAACAAAGACTTAGACAAAATAAATGACCAATGCTGCATAGTTTTGCTACACTTTATTCTGGCCCCACTTCTTATTTAAGAGAACTAAGTGTCCAGTGTCCAAGTATAAATATCACCATGTGTTGGAAAAATAACCTTCAGATTTGTGCTCTGACCTCCATTTGGCACAATTAAATCATACGCAAGTCAGACACAATGCTCACAGCTTGGCAGTGGTGGATCCTGAAGGCAGCCCACTGCGTCAGACGTACCTTCCCTGAGCCCACACTGCAGGGAAATCCTCAAGTCACACACACAGCACACGGTGCACAGGTTCTTTTATTCTGTCCTGTGGATGTCAACGGTGCTGACAGATAGTGTTGGGAAAATTGGAAAGCACACACCTGAATGTTGTCACATTGTTCTACATCACGACTTAGTAACTACTGAACAGTTATGTCTACTAAATACAGTGAACAAAATGGTATGTTTACACCATTCTCCTGTAAACAAGGCTGTGCACAATAGTAACACACAGAATTATGCATACCATGATATCAAGGAGGAAAATACCTCTTTAAATAAACTATTCTATTTATAAATAAACTCTGATTTTTTTCAGTACACATTTACAGACCTGATCAATAAAAAGAAACAATATATAATATATATTTTTTCCTTTAAAAAGCAAATGTTGAGATATGGACCACATGAGAAGATCCACCTAGGGAAAGGGTGAGGAGCAAGCAGAGGGCACGAGAGTTACGAGAATGAATCCTGGGAGCACACATCAACACAAGAATAGGACTGTCTAGCAGGAGCTCATTTTTACTTGAATTCCAGCAAGTTGCAATCAATCTTGTAATATACATAGGGGTAGTATTCTTGCTGACTCAGGTTCAGGCCAGGAATATCCATAGGAGCCTATGGAGAGACCACAAACACCAGTTAGGTACTTACAGGACCTCTTATGGACACCTCATCTGGGATGAAGCTATGCATTTAAACTAACTTAATCTGACCAGGCACTCACTTTGCTTGAAGTGTGGGTAGACCCTGAGGCTGCTGAGTCACACAGCAAGCAGGAAGGCCAGACTAAGCTATGCTCCAATACTGAAACTGTGCCTGAACCATGACCTTCCTGTGTTTTATTGTGTAAAACTGCAAAAGTTAACTTCTTAAATCTTGGTTTAGGGGATGAGGCTTACAAAATGTAGTATCCAAATAAACCGAGTGTGGTTTTGAAGATCTCAGATCTGTTTACACCTTGTAAGAATTTACTGAGAGCCAAGTTTGTACCAAAGACTTAGGGTTCTTATTTTCTCTAAGATTTTATGAAAAGATAGCAAGTCATTTCCTGCATTTTTCTCTTACTAAAAAAACCAATTTTTCATTATTCCGATATATACGTGAGATACTACCATCTTCAACTAAAGTGAAAAACAGCAAGCTATGTGAAATTTAAACTGTAAAATAAAAGCCCACTAATATGGTGTAACAACAAAACCACACACACTGTTTGTGTTCTGGTTAAAAGTTAATGACCGGGCATGAAGAGCACTGGCTCTTCCTCCAAAGGACCTGGGTTCAACTCCCACCACCACACGCTGCTCCCAACTGTGCAGAACTAGGGGATCTGCCTCCCTTTTCTGGCCTCCCTGGGTGTCAGGCACTCACTGATATACAGACAGACATATGTGCAGGCAAAACACACATAAACATAAAACTCTGAACTGTTCCTGTGCCAAAGAGACTCCAGGGAGTAAGGGTACTTGCTGCCAAGCCTCCTGATGACCTGAGTTTGAACCCTGGGACCCACCCACGTGGTGGAGGGAAAAGTTATACACACACACAAACACACAGCATGTGTGTATCCTCCCCAAATAAATAAAAACGTAAATTGCTAATCTATTGACTCCGTTATTTCTACCAGACAAAATTAAAAATAACTTCCTATTTTCTCTGCAGTCTATATTGTTTAAGAACAAGGGGGAGTACGGGGTATCTCTGAACATCTGCAGCTAAACATCTAATACACAGCAAGATAACGCTGGGCCGCTAGGATACGGAGAGCAGCCACACCTAGCACATGAACCAAGAACGTCCTTGCTGAGTTTACCCGGACGCCCGCTCTCCTCTCCTCCTCCGTCTCCCGAGCGAGCGGGTACTCACGTCGATAATAGCGGCTGCGCTGCTGTCTAGGTGCTTGTACAGTTCGTGCAGAACTTCTCGAAGTTTCTTCACCGTTTTCTTGTTAGGTTGAAGGAGCATCGCTTGGAAGTTCACCGGCAAGCCGTACCTTAAAGAGCAGCAGAAGCAGTGTGTAGCACAAGCGCGCGCACGCGCGCACACACACACATTTTCTCTTCAGAGCAAACGTCCTCCTGCTTCTCTAAAGGCTCCTCATGGACACAGCATGCCCGTTAAATAACCCCTTCACAAGCCGGCCACCAGCCACAGAAGCTCACATTAGCGCGTAAACAAACCTGCGTCCACCACAAGTCCGTCCTTAAAACTGAGTCACTGCGGGGTGGTGGCCCCCGCCTGTGACCTCGGCGCTGAGGAGGCTAAGGCAAGGGCGGTGTAAGTCTGAGGCCAGCCTAAGCTGTAGCAGACGGGAAAACAGGCAAGCCAATCACTAGTAATTAATATTCAATTTCACAGTAATCTATTAATATGCCCAGTACATAAAAATAAAATAGGGCTATAAGATATGCTTATAATGAAAAATTGAGACTTTCCATACTTATTTGAAACATTAAAAAAAAATGTAAAGGTGAGAAGCATGGTTACAGATAAGTTTTTAAATGATTTCTAATAGGAGCAGCATGTGCAGAGGCTCAAAGGGCATTGTTATCTTAAAATCTACACTGTACATCAAACTACATGCAAAATATCTGAAAAAAATCCTCATTTTAAACAGACATTGGCTTTTTTTTTTTTTTTTTTAAAGACAAGGTCTCACTGTGTAAACCAGGCTGGCCTTGAACGCAGAGATCTGCCTGCCTCTGTGTCCTGCCTGCTGGGATTAAAAGTGTGTGACGCCACATCCAATTTGTTTAGTATTTTATAATTAATTTTGCACTTAATTACAAATCACGTGCCACACACAGATATACTGAGTGAACTGAGGAATGATGGTGACCCCACGGAGCTAGAGCGATCGATGTCTCGGGTGAAAGCACTGGCTGCTCCTCCAGAGGACCCGCATGCAATTCCCAGCACCCACATGGCAGCTCACAATCGCCTGTAACTGCAGTTCCAGAGGACTTGAGGCCCTCTTCTGGACTTCACGGGCACTGTGATAGATAGACATGCATTCAGGCAAAATACTCAGACTCAATAAATAGTTTTTTAATGGTAGTGCTACCCTAATTATAATGGAGCTAGCTCCAAGTTTCTTTTTGCTTAGTGTTATCCATCACCGTGCAGTCCGCGGTTTCTGGCAGAGCTGGAGCAAGCTCACCTGCACCTCCAGCCTTATAAATGTCTGACCCACATACTCACCCACAGTTCATGACACATGATCATCATGGTAAATGACAGAGTTGCTGGTTCACTATTGACCACACTGCACTCGGGATTAGTGGAGTTCAGGCCTTTCTCATGACAAGCTGTACAGAGTCTACTAGAAAGGTTGTGCTGTATCACACATCTCCAGACTGCATCGAAAGGCCATATGGGACAGGTATGATGCTACACACCTGCCATGGTGGCACTCAGGAGGTTGAGGCAGGAAGATCAAAGTGTGAACCAGCCTATGCTGCAAAATGAGTTCCAAGTCAGCCAGGAGGAGACTGTATCAAGCAAAACAAGTGGCCGTGTTGAGCAACTGACACCACGGCAACTGGCCGACCACAGAGCACATTCGGTGTACCCCGCCATGAGCTCGCTGACTCACAGACCAACTCTCCTTACACAGCACAGGATGGACCTTAGAGGCAGAGTGAAGCAGTGTGGATCCCTCTCCTGAACCTGGTGCTAGAGGACAAGCTTGTGTGACCCTGACTGTGTCTGCCTCTTCATATGGCTGGACTGTCATGAGAAAGGGACACTGAGCTCTGCAGCTCCAACTTTCTCAACTGTCTTACCTTAAAACAGATTCGACAAAAACCCTCAATGCTTTTATATGAATCCACGCAATAAACGCCTCACTGAAATTCACTTTGAGCCACCGCACAAGTGGTCCCTTTAAAAAGAAAAACACAAAATTACCACAAATTTGGTTTGCAAACGGCAATTAGAAAGTCAAACATCTGACCACACTATGAAGTTTCAAACATTCTGCTGGACACCCTATTGCCTTCCTTCCTGCTCTTAAATCAAAGGGTGAGCCAGTCCTCTGGACCTCAAAGACTCTACAGTGAACCGGGCTCAACAACAGCAAAGACACGGCTTCATGGAAGCAGTCTAACTGGGTTTGGAAGCTGTAGCACCAACACTGGAGCACACAGCATGGCGCCCAGCGTATTTAGTGCACTGACAGAGAACTCTACCTGAAGCTTCTTGGACACAGCCATTCCCCAACCCCAGCTCCCAGTGTGATCTGTGAACAAGGGCTTGTTCTGAGGCCCTGAAACCTGCTCCTGTTTTACATTTTCTGTTTCTATGACAATGCAAGTTCTTGTTGAATTAAATGTTGAGCACAATTAAAAACTTCTTGAAGCCAGGCGGTGGTGGCGCACGCCTTTAATCCCAGCACTCGGGAGGCAGAGCCAGGCGAATCTCTGTGAGTTCGAGGCCAGCCTGGGCTACCAAGTGAGCTCCAGGAAAGGTGCAAAGCTACACAGAGAAACCCTGTCTCGAAAAAACAAAACAAACAAACAAAAAAAACAAACTTCTTGAAAGATGTCAAACAATAATACCTCCTCCTGTCTACCTGTAAAGACAGCATTACTGGCTCAGTTAACACTTAGGTTAGGTAATGCACAGGACCATGTGGACGTACCAAGCAACTGATTCAGGCAAAGAGGATACAATTCAGTGACAATTTCTGATCAAAATGTTTGCTCTTTGAGCTGCTGTGGCCACGAGCATTGACAACATGTGCTTGCTAGAAAGCAGAGCAGGTGGGGGGCAGTGAGCAGCGAGCATGCTGTCTGTGTCAGGCTGCTCCCTGGTGATGGAAGAACAACCCTGAGCTGCTGGGAATCTACCCATAAATATACATTCCAATTTGTTTGTGAGAACTTCCCGATACTCCTGCCTCTTCCTCCAGTGCTGGGATGACAGGCTGTGCCACCACAGCCAGCTTTGGTCAGGGTGGCACTGTGGCTTTTTTGTGCTGGTGAAGCACTCTACTGAGCTACATCGTCAGCCCCAATACTTACATTTTTCTAGCACCTAATTATAAACTGTTTTTTCATAATGTTTCTCTCTGAGACTTCCAGGCTTTCAGCATCTCCGGAATTTATTTTTCCATTTTCCTAAGACTCAAAAGCAAAGCAAGCCCTAAAAAAAATCCAACGAGGATCACAAAAGGAGGGCTCGGCTCCGGGTAAGGACGTTTGCTGTGCACGCACTAGGACCTGAGCCAGACATAGACACACGTTTGTAATCCCCGTGGAGAGATCTGGTAACTGATGGCTGCCTATAATCCCAACACTCTGAAGCCGAGGCAGGAGAATCCCCAAGAGCTCAAGACAGCTCTGGGCCACACGGTGAGGTAGGTCTGCCTGGACTGTGGGGTGAATCCTGTCTCAAAAAAGAAGTGGAAGAGTACACCAACTAAAATCAGCTCTCTTAAAGGAAAAACCAGAGAAGTTTTTGCCAAGTCAAAGACAGGCAATACTACTTCACTTCCCCGGACACCGACAGTGCTAAGGAACGCCACATACAAACTGCTTCTTCTTGTCAGTAGACAGCCTGTTCATTTCTTCTTTATCTGCCTTCATCTCCTCCTCGTTATACTGGAAGTCACGAACTATGAACCTAAATTTGGAGGAAAAAAACAAATTTGTCCACACCATATATAACAAATGCAACAGATTAAAATTATATGCACACCTTTATGAGAGGGACAGACAACTTACTTGTTTTCTCTGGCTTTGTGTCTGAAATCATCGACTGCTTTTCTAAACAAGGTGACGTTACAAAGGTAACTGTCTTGGTCCTCTGAAAGAACACTAGAGGGGAAAGTCACTGTGAGTTCTAGACGTCCTGTGGGTTTCACAAACGGGGAAGGGAGGGACTGGTAGCATGCTCGCTCTTCACCTGCACGCCTCCGTCGTCAAAGACGCTCTGTCTGGGATGCTCTCTGGTTAGGATGCCCGCACACCCTCTCCTCACTCTCCAGCTGACAAAACCATCTGTTCACTAAGGGAAGCCACAGCTGTTCAACTTCTACATCAGGCTGGTTGGTCAAACTGTCTGTTCTTGTCTCACGGACTATCCCTCTTTCCAGTCCAATCCAGCCAGCCCACCAGGGCCTGGCTGCACACGGCCATCACCTCATACCCCAGGTATTCATTCCTGTTCCCCATAACATCCCCAATCGGAATTTCACAAGCAACAGTCTCAACAGCTCTGAATGAATACACTTCTGTGTGTCAGGCTCCTTTTCAGTGTCAGTGAGCTCATAACTTCCAGCCACAGCTCCACGGACATCACTACAAAAACCTTTCCAGACACAAGTGCTGGGAAACTGCCACAGAGATGTGTAAGGCCCTGAGGAGCAGGCCTGCTGGAAAGGGTGGACTGTGGCTCAGACAGGAGGAATCAGCTTTCAAAAGGGCCCTGACTCTACAGGAAGAGAACCCATGCACAGGGGCCACAAAGCTACACTCAGCCTTCTCAACAGCAAGGCCCAGGGTGGGTGATGTCACTGGGGGCGGGGCCTCTTCTACCTTTCATGCCATGAGGATTTTCTAATGTTTAATTTACGGTTTTGTGAAAGAAAAACAGCTTCTAAAGTATAGGTGATACACACGCAAATTCTCCACCTTCAGTGTGTGCAAGCCAGATGCATACCCACAAACATCTCCACACTTAAGGTAACAAATATCCATCCTTCTGAAGTTGCCTTGTGAAAGGTTTTTCTTTTTATGTTTATGTTTTGGTTTTTTAAGAATACTTTTATGAAACTTGTACAACCACTGTGGAAATCAGTATGGCGGTTTCTCAGAAAATTAGGAATTGAACTAACTACCTCAAGACCCAGCCATCCCACTCTTGGGCATATACCCAAGGAATGCTGATTCATACCATAAAGATACATGCTCAGCTATGTTCATAGCAGCACTATTTGTAATAGCCAGAACCTGGAAACAACCTAGATGCCCATCAACGGAA